GGGTAAGTCCCACTCAAGACGAATGGCCTCACTCAGAGCACCCCCGACACAGGGCACCACTGTCCATCAAACTGTCAAATACTTCTCTCCTTTTCTAACATAAACATTTCCGATCTATATATGCTTTTAAAATATTTTACAAATCCCTAAAAGTCATGATCAGAACATCAAACCAGCAAGCTAAAAAAGTTTGTTGGCTCTTAAATAAGCTCATGGTGTCTATGTTCATTTCCATGAACCAAAGAAGTCCTATACACATTTCAAATGTTCACTGGGAGGATCATAAGCTACAATACACCAAGGTATAAAGTCTAAAAAATAACACACTAAGAATTTCTACATTTACTTTCTCAGAACTCTGGGATAGACAAATGTATATAGTAAGCTGCAACTGGGGAAAGAACAGACAAGTCGAAGAAACGAATCACAAGAAAAGCCTTACCTTTCTCTTCAGTGTGGGCTTTGTAAGAATTGGTGGGGAGCTGGACCGAGGACTTTCTGGCTCTTCTTCTTCCTCACTACTCTCACTGAAGCCTCTGAGGAGAGCCCTGTCACCGTCACTATAGCGACGGGGCAGCCTCTCATTGCCTTCTGGTAATCTACACTTCAGTGCCTCCGGGCTCTTCTTTAGCTGTCCTCGCCAGAGCTCAACCCCCTCACTTAGTCTTCTTTTGGGAATGTCTGGCTTCCCATCCTGGCTGGGCTGCTCCTGAGAGGCTGCTGACTGGTCCTCACTTTCAGTGTATTGTTCTTGGGAGGTTTCTGATTTTTCCTCACATTCTCCATATTGTTCCTGAGGAGCTGATGTCTCTTCCAAGAGCAGTTTAGAATCTTTATCACCAAAACGTTCCTGGGTTTTTCTGTTCTTCCTTCCCCAGCGGCCTCTCCGAGATGGCTGATTGTTTGCAGGAAGACTATCACGGGGAAGGACTTGCTTGTTCAGACGCGTAGAACTAGCTGGTGCCATAACTTCTGGTTTCTTTTCACTTTCTACCGAAGAGTAAGAATCTTGTTCTTTGTTCTCCCGAGATGCAGACTTTCCCACCTGATTTTAGAAAATAAAACCATGCTGGTTAATCTTTCAGACTTATTCAGTTATATCTCCTATTTGACCTCCTAAATACAGAGATAAGAAAACAAAGCTTTAAAAAAGAAAAGCATAATTTAGTAGCTATCATGAATATTTCTGTGTTTGACATTGCTTTAAATGCTTTATAGGATACATTAATCCTCACAATTGTATGAAGTGTTATTATTACATCCTCATTTTACAAACGAGGTAACCGAGGCACAAAAAAATATAAGTAACTCGCCTTAGGACATGCAACAGCAAATACAGAAGCTGGGATATAAACCCAGGCAGTCGGACCCAAGAGTTAGTGCTCTTAACCACTATGTAATCCCACCTTCAATAAACAAAATGAACAGCATTGTTCTTATAAATGTTAAATGATATAATTTTAAAATTTATCAGAAATAAAAATTTATAAACGGAGACAAGATGGACTCTGGGGCATGGGCAAGAGAAAAGGGGTGTTTGAAAAAAATGAAAGAAAATTTCTGTAATTATTTTGATTTATTTTTATTCTGAATATTTAATTTCATTTTGAAAATTAAATTACATTAAACAGGGGCATGAGATTGTTTATGTTTATCAAAGGAGGACATAGATTTTTAAAGGAAGAAAGCACAGCTTTAAAAAAAAACAGAGAAAGGTATGCATCACATGACAAAAAATACTGAAAACTATACAATGTCATACAGTCCCTCATTAACCCTTTAATGGCTAAAGACATCTGTGTACCCACTGAACTGTTTAGTGCTCTATTAGAACATACATGTTTACATTATTTCCTTAATGTTTTACTTTAAGGAAAAGGTATCTTAATTTGTTTTAACAATGGTCAGAATTAAATTCAGATTTGTCAGTTACTACACAGCTTAAGATTTAGCTGTTTATCAGCACTCTGGTAAGAAATATTTAGTTCTACATAACACATTATTACAAATTTGAAGGTCTCCTAATGACCTAAGGCTTAAAAAATATACAATTTAAGTAAACAAAACCCAGTTTTCTTGAAATCTCTATCACTGTAATCATCTTTGAAAATCTAATGTGAACTGACTGTGTTGGTTTAAGATATTGTAACACATATCACAAATAATCATGAAAACCAAAAATAGAGCCTTCTGTTATCAAAAATAGAGACTACTCATGCCCTTACACTTGTCTCTAATTCTCTTTCCTGGCACTGCGGCTCTTCGTTTTCTCCTTCCTCAGCCTCCTCTTCTTCCTCCTCTGAGACCACAGAATTGGAGACTATGACAGGGGTCCAGCGCAAACATTCTGGATCTACATCTACAGGCCGCAAATTCAGCTGAAGCTTTGCCATGTGATCCTGGATAAGTTTTTCCCGGCGGATTATCACAAATCTGGAACCAGAGCAAAGTTTATAGCAATCAACAACATATAAGAGTACCTAACAATGAATATGGAGCTATAACCCCTAGAAAACCTGGAGATGATGATAAATGCTTCAAAAATAGCCTGTCTGGGAAGATGAAATACAGAAATATGCCACCATACAAGATAACTAACAAATACAAAGTTGGACACATACTTCATACTCAACAACAGCAATGGATTTGGTTATTTTAACCATTCACTGTCTCATACTTCCCAGCTCTGGAATTTCTGCTACTCTCCTGTACACTATCTCCTATTCTCCATCTTTCTAGCCCAATGCTTCCTTCCTTTCTCTGTGATCTTTTCCCAATCACTCCAGATAAGAGTGAGCTGACTTTCCCTTGACCTATATTTTATTTTATACCACATATAATGGAAATAAATCATGGACATATATTTTATTAGGCATTATTTCTAGAGTTGTTCTCATATTGTGAAGAAGCTCCCAACATTAGAAAAGATTCAGTAGCTTATGTCCAAAAGTTAGAAGAGAGACCAGAAAAAACAATTTAAAAAAAGTTAAGGTCAACAGTATCAAGGATCATAGAAAAGAAAATGTCGTCTCAGGATTACCAAATGTATTAGTTTGTTATATTAGTTTATACCCTTTCATTGATATCTGGCTGCCTGATCCAAAAACTTCCACCTGATTATCTTTTGAAAGTGTAACAAAGGGATGTGATACTCACTGATCACTACGGAAGTCCAGCATTCGTAGGTGGTGGAGTGTGGAAGTAATGTCTTGAGGACAGATACCTGTCAACTTGCTTAACTTCTTAATGCTGATTTGCTTGTCATTTTGGTGATAAAGGCACTCCAATATTACACTTTTCCAATAAGCCATGTAGGAAAGACGACCTAGATCAGATAACGGTTTCTCTGGAGACCCTGCTTGGCCTTCACGCTTTGATAACAAATAACCTAAAGAAACCACCAAATCACAAATATGTCAGCGAGCCTAAAATAGGCTAATTCACCAAAATAACAATCCCCTCTTCCACAACCAATCTAAGTAGTACAGGAAATAATAATTTCAAAAGCAAATTCCTCCAAGAAAAAAAACAAATTAAAAAATTACTTCAACACAAATTTGCAGAAGATTATGTAATTTGTATATACTGAGAGAACATGAGGTTAGCATTACTTTGTCTATACTTGCTATAAACCACATTGTTAAAATATCCAAACTTAAAAAAAAAATCATACAACCTCATATTAACAGGCTACATAAGATTAAGGCAATAATGTTTTTTATTTTATAGGGGAACCACTCTTGCATGTTTTATCTGGACCACCAGATGGCAACAGCTATACCTGAACTGTAGAACAGTACAAAAGGATGCCTTAGTTTTTAAATAATTCTATCTATTAAGATTATGATTCTTCTGCAAGTGAATTAGATGACAATTTCTCACTTCAGTCAAAGCTCTCTTTGCAATTACCCGTCACCCTAATTCTTGATAAGTAAGGATGTCAGGGTGGGGCTGTCACAGTGAGTGTATGGTGGCATTTGTCCTCCTGTCTAGAGCATGACTCTCAAGATCAGGAAAAGAAAGGAATAAGTTCTAAATATCAAAAATGGAGATGGCAGAAGAAATACAGTTTTTTTGTCATCAAAGGAAACTTTATTAAAGGCAATCTATAAATGGTAATGTGGGAAATTAGGTTACATTAGGAAAAGCAAATGAAAACAATTAGTATAATAATCCTAGACTATTGTTTATCTCAAATATATAACAAATTTTCCCCTAACTTTGCTGTGTAATGGAATAACACATCCAAACATGAGTTCTATTTCAACACAATATATTGATATTAAATAACCTAAGCTGCTCTCTCTACTACTAATTCAAAAAGGCCAAGAAAATGTACAAAATAATCAGTGGCATATTTCCAATAAAATATGGTCAGAAGTGCAGTCTAAGGCCAAGTGGAATAAGCTGTGCTGGTCCATCTTGAGAATTAACTTCTTACCACTGGTGATATAACCATCTGATACTTAGAAGAAAAACCGTATCAAAATATTCCCTGAAAAATCACTATTTTAATCAATATAAAATTTATTGTAAACATATATTTACTTTCTAAGCAAGACTATCAACATGTTCCATGATGACTTTTTTCAGAACTGTTCCTTTCCATTTTTAAGTCAGATTAAATTATTTCCTGTATTTCCTATAAATTATTTCCTAGACATTTATTTTTAAGATTTTTAAAGGTGCACTGCATATTTTAACCACTAGGTAGAGTCTGTAAGAAATGATGTATACACTTTCCCAGATAATTGAATAACAAAAATAAGGCAAGTCCTGTACTTTACTGTATTAATTTAAGTAGTTATACGTGTTTAGTATTGTTGTGAGTTAGAATTAGCATAAAACTAAGTTCCACTGTAAGTTAGCAGTTGAAAATTAAAACTATTTGCAAAAGATCACACAGAAGTTAGTATTCAGTATAAGCTATTTTATTTTATTTTTTTGAATGTTTATTTATTTTTGTAGGAGAGAGAGAAAGAGCATGAGCAGGGGAGAAGCAGAGAGAAAGGATGACACAGAACCCGAAGTAGGTTCCAGGCTCCGAGCTGTCAGCACAGAGCCCGGCACGGGGCTTGAACTCACAAACCATGAGATCATGACTTGAGCTGAAGTAGGACGCTTAACTGACTGAGCCACCCAGGCACCTCCGGTATAGGCTATTTAAAAATATTTCATGTCCAATCCAAAAAAAAGAAAAAAGAAAAAATTCATGACTTTAGGTTTTAAAGTCCCATACAGCAGTATGACAGAAGATACTAGCAACCAATAAATCATCTGCAAATCTTTAAAAATATATACGGAAGGCCCACAAAAAGAGATAATGAGAAATGATATTATTACAATCCTTACTGAAATCGATGAGAAACCTGCCATAGCCCTTACGCTGGTACTGGGGAAGAATCATTATGCAGGAAACGTTGTACTTCTGCTGGCAGTGCTTTTCCTGGTAAAGAAAGTTTTAAAACAACACGCTAGTAAGACTGAATAGTAATGCTAATTATTAAGAAACAAAGACTAACAGTCAAAACCACAGCCCTAGTCCTCTGAGAATACCATATGCATCAAGGAAAAAATACCCCAGTGGGAGGAGACAGGACCACGTTAAGTCATTGTCACTACCCACAAAGCAACCATCCCAGGAGAATAAAAATATAAAATAAAATTATGCCATCCAACACCATCTGCAACTCAAAAACAGTATGTCATTGCCTAATATGAACAGAGGAATCTCAGTCCCAATCAATCTGCAAAGCTATAGATGATGAGTCGATGTGACACTCCAGAAATGGGAAAATTCAGGGGAACAACTATTTCAACTATTTCAGGGATTCTTTTGTTTCCTGCTCTGGTGCTACATAGGGCAGTCTCATCTCCCCATTAGTTGTACCTCACTTTACAAAAATAACCCCAAAATGTTGTGTACACTTTTAAAAATAAGGCAATATATATAAAATTATATTTAACTTCTGAAATAGCCAACAGAAAGCTGGTACTTTCCACTTAGCCATTTCATATACTTAGATTTTACCATAGGCCAGCTTAAATAAAAGTACATCTTTTACGTTGTTTGACTACAAAAAAAAACCTTTTGTTCACCCCAAAAGAATGAAAGACTATAGGAAGGGAAGAAAACATCCGTTAATAAAAAGGGCTTATTCTTATTTCTGTGCTTCAAATTTAAAGTAGGAAGAGCAGACTTAAACTGAGAAAGAGCTCAAAGAGGTAATGACTGTTTATTTCACAAGTTCTATCTATTATTACCATGGGAATAGAAGTCATTTTAAAACTCTTCCTCTTGAGTATAATCGGCAGCTCATGTTCCTAGGAGACTACAGTCTGTTGAATGTTACTAGATACCTTCTAGCCCTTGGTAAGTTTCTGAATATTCCTTCTATTTTCCTTTCCAAAAGCTAGATGGTGCCCAGAAGGTGCTGCACTTTGTAGTGTTCTAGTGAGAACTGACAAAGATTGATTCAGATTTCCGTGTGAATTCAAACATATTTTAAGCTGATATACTTACTTTAGAAAAGTAGCCAACAAGGTGGCAGCCCTTGACATCATTTTGTGTTAGTACATAAAAAAGAAATGGCTCCACGTCATAATAGAGTGTTTTGTGGTCAAGAAACAACTTTGCCAAGAGACATAGGTTCTGACAATAAATGGTACTCACATTCCCATCAACCTAGAAAATAATAGAACAAAATGGTCAGTAAAGTCGCTCTTTAGTTCTAGAACAATAATACACATCACTTACAAATACCTGTGAGTATCCACAGTCCAGCCTAAGAGAGCTCTCAGTGATCAGAACCTGGAAGCTATCCTCTGAAACAGCAGAATTATGGTACCTGCTGTTGTAAGACAACTAAATATATAAAATACTGCACTTCAACAAAGTACGAATAGCTAGACAAGGAGATGATGACCCTTAAAAAAGAGCACTTTTTGCTTTTATAACAAGATTGGTTGCAGTAATCCTTCAGACAGCAAGCTGATTTGATTCATTTTTTAAAGTAATTCAACAAAAGATCTAAAAGCAGCCTCTTCTAAAATACATTTGTTAAGTAAAACAAGGTATAACTATAGTCCACTCTATGCCAGCATCCAAAAGCAATGCAGTCTGGCTGCCACAATCAGATTTGCCCCCGAAATAAAGCTATTTTCAGGAGTATTAACTATTGCCAGAGGCATCAACCAAGCAGGTTCCCTAGGTAGCAACCTGGCAAATGAGAGATTTCTTGGAATCAGGATGGCCAAGATCAGGAGCACCACTGTGTATTTCTCCTGACACACCCCTGGGTTGCTGGAGCTTCGAGAGCTTGCTCTTTTACACAAATGCCAACAGATATCCACATTAAACCCTAAGACATCAATATTTCAGGATAGAAACCTCAACAATTTAAGTAATTTAATATTACTTCTTTTAAAATATACACCAATATATGCTTAAGGCGAGAAGCACTTTGCTCTTGGGTATTGTAGACCACACCCTTCTTCCTCCCCCACCCCGAGGGTGAAGAGATCCACTACTTCTCACCTAAAATGAAGGTGCAGGGAAAATCAAGAAAGTTAGAGACTGAGTGATCCCCACAATCTGAAATTCTATCATCACAGTAATTAACAGAACTGAGCACATGGCAGGTGTTCAATTAATACCTGGCAGTAAAACCATGAACTGAGGATCTAGAAACTAAAACCCCATGACCAACAACACAAAATCACGGACATAGCCTAAGTCATATCATCATGATGAAGTAAGAAATATATATTTTTATAACTTTACAAAATACAACTTACTACAGTTATTAAATATCTCTACCAAATATTCCTTTAAGTGGGGCAACAGAAATTTTTTCATTTAAATACCATTATTTCATAGATTCTAAGACACAATTTTATCACATCTAAACATAAAAAATCATTTGGTATTTTATAATCAAATGGAATCCTGAAATACAGAATAATTTATTCTGAGATCAAGATTGTGACCTCGGTACAATCTGGATTGGCCTAATTCTGCTTCTCCTATAAACTGGATTATCAGACTCAAGAGTGAGTACAACAGTAAAATAACATTGCAAAAAAGACAACTACAATTAGATACAGTATAGGTGGTACTGCATTTGAAATGATAGGAAGACAACTATAAAACATCTACTTTACCTCAAAGACAGAAATATTATTTTTTCTGTAAATCTCATTGGCAGGAGGATGGAACCAACCACATTTCTTCATGTGCTGCTGGAGAATAGTTCTACTTTTCATGTATTTTAGACAGAATTCACAAAGATATAATTTAGGCAGCCTGTAAATAATAATTAAACAAAGAAAGACAGGACTTTTTATAAGACTGTAAACTTTCACAGCTATTCTTTTTTGACTCTCATTACTACTCAAGTAAAAAGGTGGAGACTGTATTATCATCCCCATTAACCAAATGAAAGACAGAAAACAAACTAAAGACAAAATTAATTTGGTTAATAGCATCCAACTAATTAATAGCAGGAGGGCAAGGGTGAGAAGATACCCGAGATTCAGTGCTCTTCCTATCAGACTAGTAATTCCTAGTCTTCTTAAAAGCTACCCACCTGGCAGACAATGAAAATCTCATATTCTCCCCTCCTTGATCATCTCTAATAAGCAGAAAATAAAGTCTACCTTCAAAACACACCACTAAGAAGATTTTGTCAAGCTATATATTTTCTTTGGTTCTTTATTTGATCATTCTTTTTTTTTTTTTTTTTTTTTAAAGAAAATACACATTTGTTAAATACCACTGATCTCTGAACAACATGGGTTTGAACTGCATGGGTCCACTTATAAGTGGATTTTTCTTGGTAAATACAGTACAGTACAGTAAATACATTTACAGTACAGTAAATGTATTTTATGATTTTCTTAACATTTTCTTCTGTCTAGCTTACTTTATTTTTATTGTAAGAATATAATATATGGGGCATTTAATACAAATTATGTGTCAATTGACTGTTTATACTATTGGTAAGGCTTCTGGTCAACAGGAAGCTATTAGTACTAGTTAAGTTTTTGGGGAGACAAAGGTTATACATGAATTTCTGACTGCACAGGTTGGGGCCCCTAACTGTAGTGCTGTTCAAGGGTCAACTATACTACAGTGTGTTAGGCCTTGTGCTAAATGCACTAGGGACAGAGTGCTGAGTAAAACGGATATAGGGTGGGTACTATAAAAGCAGATTTTATATTATCTTTTTAAGTATAAAATTGTAATAATGATTATGTTTTTTCAAGTTAGGACATACTGCACTACCTCCTTCCTTATGAAACCCCTGAAATTCTGGCTTTTCCTCTGGTTAAATATCATATTACATCCTGTAACTTAAAAGTCTATTATTCAACAAATGAAATAAAAGTTCAAATTAATCTTTCAGATATTCTAGTATTAATTTGTATTTATACAACAGTATTGCTATTTTAGCAATAATTTAACAGGACTTCTTTACAATGTTCCTTTTATGAGGAGCTAGGCAAGAAAGTGACTGGATTAGTTCATAAGAAGGAATATAACCTAATTAAAATTTATACCTGGTTTTAATCTAATCCAGAAGACCACATGGCTCTCCTATCATAAAATACACACTTCATTTATCCTCAGCACACAGACTTCCCTGCATCCTGAACTGTGTGTGTCCAGAACTGGTCATGCCTTGGTAATCGGAGATCTGACACTATCTTTAAAAACTACATACACAAAAATACTGGATATGATGACAAAATATATAATCCAAATAAATTTGTCTCTCAAATAAGTATTGAGGCTGAAGGAAATGTTAATAAACCTCATTAATTTAGTTGCTATCAGTTTGGACAGCTATGCTTTAAAAAGATTACAATGGAATTAAAGAAAAGATTAACACACAAAAGGTCTAACTTGTTAAAGTGTCAAGACCACACTATTTTTTCAAGTACCACTTTGGAAGCCACATTTTTTAACGTTTTTTTTTCATTCATTTTTTTGAGAGACAGACTTTTTTTTTCATTCATTTTTTGAGAGACAGAGAGAGCACGAGTTAGGGAGGGACAGAGGGAGAGGGAGACACAGTATCTAAAGCAGGCTCCAGGCTCTGCACTGTCAGCACAGAGCCCGATGAGGGGCTTGAACCCACTAACTGTGACATCATGACCTGAGCTGAAGTTGGCCGCTTAATGGACTGAGCCACCCAGGTGCCCCAGGAGGCCACTTTTAAAACTTAATTATACTTTATCTGAAAACATCTAACATTCAACCAAGGCCTTTGCCAAGGTGTATTTATGGAAACACTAGTCCTGTATGTAATAAGTGTTTCATGCTCAAATAAGGGTGAAAACTGCCATTCGGTGCACTAAAAGCTTCGAGGGAACTATTTCAGTATAATATTTCTAAGTCTCTACAATATCTAATACTGTTTTCCAACATCTCTCATATTAGACAGACCAATACAACTCGAAATTATATCATTAATACAAAAGTCATTCCAAAATAAGGTACTGAGTAAAACAAATAATAAATGACATCATAAACTGAAGTCAAGAAACAGGAACCAAGGGCATGAAAAAGAAAGGTTTCCTAGGCAACTGTGCTTATTTCCTTTGCATGTTGCTTCAAATTCCACTACTCAGAGAAGGAAGGGCAGTGAGATAGATGGCTTCCCCCTCCCCCCCTTTTTTAAGGTTTATTTTGAGAGAAAGAGCAAGAGAGGGGAAGGGCAGAGAGAGAGGGAGTGATAGAATCCCAAGCAGGCTTCATGTTGTCAGCACAGAGCCCAATGCAGGACTCGATCTCACAAACCATGAGATCATGACCATGAGATCATCAAGAGTCGTTGCTTAACAGACTGAGGAACCCCGGCGCCCTGAGCTTTTTCCTTCCTTACCAACCAGAAAAAAAAAAAAAAAAAAAAAAAAAAAAAAAAAAAAAAAATCACAAAAGGAAATGGCCGCAATTATAAACTTCATCATTAATGTGGGCACTAGATATCCTGAGTCTCAGAGCTGACCCACAACTGCCAGATTGTTTTACTGAATATGTGGATTTTGAATAATTTCTTCTTAAAAAGGAAGGTGGAAGGTAATTCTCCCTATGTAATTAAAGGCATCCTCCTCCCTCCAACTACTCTACTGCTTACCTTTATTTACCTGTGCTAAATTTTCAATGAGCAATTTTAACTTGCTGCAACATGAAGACATAGAAGAATCCATGAACACAGTTTCACTCTGAGACCTAAATATTACAACTAAATATTCCCTACAATGTGAATCTGAGAAACATAGATAAAATCCTGGGAAAAAAGGAAGGGAAAGAGGAGTGACAGACAACTAAAATTTCTAGATTATGCTAAAGATAAATGCCAACTTTAAAAGCATCCAATTTAACTTTTACATCTTGATACAAAGACATCAAAATAAAGTACAGCTTATTTCCTAAGGCCTATGAAAGAAGGTCTAATTTTTAAAGTTCTTGTAGTAAGCAAGTTGTTCAAGAAAACACAGGAAGCAATGAAATCTATAAGAAAATTACTGCCAAGTCTTAACTGGTGAATTTTAAGTTCATGCTATTTCCTTGGAATAGCAAGATGTATGACATTTTCTTGATTAAAAAAAAAAACTTTAGCAAATCTTAGTATTTGAAAAATAACAAAGTAAAAGCAAATATCATAATCTACTTTACTCCAATTCAGCTCTTGCTGAAAACATTTTAAAAGCCTCTTACTTTATTATAACCAAGCCCACTGGAATGACACTATTAGTCTAAAGGGAATCATCTGGTAATAAAACATTTTGTTTTTCCAGGAGTTTTAACGGTACAAATGGCTGAAGTTTCCTTGTTGAAAAAATACATTATATAGGAAGAACATGAGATCACATCAAATGAAGTATAGTCATAGAGTATGAATACTCTTAGCCCTAAAGATGGCTGCTGCTTTTTGTCACTGTCTTCCTGACAGCCCTAGTCCTTGACTATCAAATAGGTGTATGGTTGCCTAGATCAACTGCATCATGGGATGTAGCCTCCATACCTAAAGTTTATTTTAAATCAGCCACTCTGCTGACACCCTCACCTGTGAAGTCAGGACTAGGCTGCAGCTATGTGTGCTTTAGAAGCATTGCTTCCCTTACTTCTAAGATGATACAAATACTCTTCCCAGGAATTCCTACAGTATCTTCTTAGCTTCCGAACATTGCCCAAGATAGTAGCAATTTGTGTGGCCTTTATAAGAGGTCCACCTGCAGTAAAATTTTAATAAAAATTCTATCAAATATTACTTAAATAAAAGATTATGGTACAAGCTATGTGAGATCAAGGTAGACACACAGATGCTATATGGAGCAGCACAAGCTCAGTGGTTAAAAGCTATGGCAATGTGGTAAGAGAAAAGTGAGATTAAATCCTGGTTCTGCTACTTGGAAACTGCATGGTCTTGAGTATGTTTACTGGGCCCTGGTCTGGAAAATGAAGAGAGTAATATCCACCTCTATACAGAATTATTCCAGAGATATTTAGTCCAGTACCACGCTCAATGATGATAACTAAAGATACTATTAATTTATGATTAAGACTATGAATAATTTTATTCTCCTTTCATTCATTTTACTTCATCATTTAACAGTCATCCAAAGACCTTAAGGATGTTGGTCTTTAGTAACTGAGGCTGTACATAATCTATGCATCAAATCAAGTCAGGAACAGGATCAAAAGGGAGAGGAAACTTCCTAAGCTACTCAGTTATATAGAACCCATCCTTTAGGATTTTAATGATCTTACTGTAAAAACGTTATTATAAAGTTAAGTTCTAAACAACTCGGGAGTAGAGGATATCCCATGATCACAGTTACTCTTGCCTTCAGCCCATCCATGTCATGTTTTATTGGCAGAGTGGGGCTCTCTATGAACCTGTCTGCCATGTATGAGCATCACACAGCCCTGTTGGAGAAACTTAGGGTTAAAACTCTGGTTTATACTATTCGATGTCTAAGACTTAATCATACTGCTCCACATAAAGTAGCATTACTGCTTCACTGTTGTTGATTTTGTTTTGTTTTGTTTTGCTTTTTTTAAGTCAGGGATGCAAGATTACTTCATATACAACGCACACACAAATATCTGGATATTATGGGAAATAACGCATAATCCCACTTCCCAAAAGAATATCCTTTTGGGATTCTTTTTTTTTTTTTTTTAAGTTTATTTACTTATTTTGGGAGAGAAAGAGAGAGAGCGAGAGAGAGAGAGAGAGAGAGAGAGAGAGAGAGAGAGAGAGAACCCCACGCAGGTTCCACACCATCAGCACAGAGCCCGACGTGGGGCTCAAACTCACAAACTGTGAAAGCATGACCTGAGCTGAAACCAAGAGTCAGACGCTTAACCGACTGACCCACACAAGTACACTGAGATCTTTTCTTTTTCATTTGCCCCAATTGTTCTGTTTTTGCATGCTTTGGGATTTTGAATTTTTAAAAAAGTCCTTAAAACCTTTAACAACAAAAAAATAACTTAGAATTTGGCAAAGAATAGTAAATAGTCATTAACAAAGTAAGGATATAAGTTTATTATTTGGAAAACATTAAGAGTTCTAAACATTTTAGCCAACTCAATTTTAATAGAACTCAGAAGTAAAACAAGCCTAAACTCGTTTAAATTAGACATATGGTTTTTTCTTTTTTTTTAATGTTTTATTTATTTTTGAGACAGAAAGAGCATGAGCAGGGGAGGGGCAGAAAGAGAGGGAGACACAGAATCCGAAGCAGGCTCCAGGCTCTGAGCTGTCAGCACAGAGCCCGACGCAGGGCTCGATCTCACAAACCACGAGATCATGACCTGAGCTGAAGTCAGATGCTTAACCGACTGAGCCACCCAGGCACCCCAATATATGAATTTTTTCAATGTAACTAAGATAATTATGAATAGAGAAAAAGTCATAATTACTAAAGAACCTATTAAACTACAGAATATTTTCTTGGAACACAGCACAAAGAATAAGGAAATGTACAGAAAATGTCTAAAATTTTATTTAAGAAAGTTGATAAATTTTACAGTTCTTATCACACTGCTGCCATCTGCTATGATTCCTACTTAGTGGTTATTTATTTTTCTGCCTGCAATGCTTATTAAGAATAAGCTGATAACCAATTCCCTCAAATCTTATTAAGAAATCAGGTTCTAGTGACAATCTAATCAGAATAAAAAGCAACATTTTTAATGAAACCTTTTCATATCTCAGAAGACAACAACCTCACGGTTACATTCTCATTATTCTCTTAAAAGTGTGTGCTGAGGCTGGCCCTCTAGTTCCATTTCTAAGTCAATTTCCTCTCCTCCCCTTGAGTACAAGAGTCAAGGTGCCAACGGTTTCAGTCTATCTGTACCACAATCAGTGCAACAGTTGATATATGCACATGTTGAACAAACTTTGTTGCCTAAGTTGAGCATGCTTTTTTGATTTGAATAGCTTGCAAAGAGCTCACTAAATAAATTATAATAATAATTTACTTTAAACCTGATGAAGAAATTAATTCTTCAGCATATTTCTTATTGATCCTGTAATTCTCTGGTTATCCAGAACTCCTGAGGAACTGCCTTGAGTACCTGAGCTCTGTAGGTAGTTGAGGAATTTCCTGCCCTCTTTTAACATATATAAATACAAATACATAATCACCAATAAATATAATTTAATGTTCTTTTAACAAACTCATATTAATTGTTGTTATCCCAGGATATAAATAGAATGCTGCCTTAAAGATCTAACATAGTGTTCGGGGTTAACTGACCTTACGATAATTGGCTCTCAGTTGCTGTTTTATAAACTTGTGTGTTAGTTTCCTGAAATTTTGCTTTCTCTTCTTTTTTTTTTTTTTTGGTCACTGAGGTCTATGTCTATAGCAACATTCTCACTCATTTTTTTTCTACTTCTGCTTAGGTTTGGAAACCAACTATCAAATTACACGGACAGAAAAAGTAAAAACAATACTGAGTTTTAGTTTTTTAACAAATATACTGGCTTATTCCCAGCTTCTGGTAATAACCCATGTTAAAGATCTCTGTATACTGTAAAGTACTAAATAAATTAATGTCATTATAATTATTTTTGCTAATGTCTTAGACTAGCAGTGTTACTAGACAGGTAAAAAGCCAAATAATGAGAGTACTCTGAACATATGTTTAACTCACAGAGCACTTATTATTCCTCACAACACTCTGCTAAATGAGAAACTTGAGATATAAGTAGTTTACAGATTAAAGAGAACATTAATGTAAGCTGTCACATGTCAAAGTTTAATTTTTTGACCAAATCTTACTTTCCAACTCTTTTAATTTCAACCCTAAAGGAAAAAAAAAATACCTGACATTTTTGAGCACTTAATCATTTTCTAAGCAATTTACATGTTTTAACTCAGTGCTCAAAATAAACCCTATGAGGTAAATACTATTTTTATCCCCATTCTGCAGATGAGGAAACTGAGGTACAGACTAGTTGGGTAACTTCTAAGGTTATACAGCTTATGAATGTCAGAACTGAGTCATGAAACCAATTTGGCTTCACTAAACATGCTGCCTCATCCCAAAAAGCTGGTGACTGATGACTTTTTAATGTCAGGAAACCCAAGCTATTTACATGTAACATAACTGTATACCATTTATCCAAGTATTTCTGGGAAAACAAACCATTCACTAGGTTTGTTAAATCATAAAAATTTAGATAAATGGCTACCCAGTAAAACTTGTAAGAATCTCTCTCCAATCCTTAGTGTGAAGTATGAAGGCAAATTTCTCTTAAAGAAAAAATGTTCCCCTTGTCATTGTGACCACGTGTCAGGTTTCCAACTTTAAATAAAAGCTTTGGACAGGTTACAGAAAAGAAAAAAGAAAATCTAAAGCCAACTGGGTTTAAGTGGCTGCCAAAATATCCTGTTACTATGGACATTTAAAAGCCACCAGTTTCCTCAAATATATAAAGATGAGCCAGACTAAAATGTCCTCAAGATCTAGTGTTGGGAGTTCTATGAATCTAAAAACAGAAGGTAAAGGGTCTCTCAAAACATACCTTGAGTATTCTTGAGGATATGGGGAGGAGTACCAGGTGTGAATTTCATACTTCCCAAACTCAATGACAGAGGGACAGCGAACTTGTGGATCAGGGGGACCAGTCACTCCAACTTTCTGTGCAGTCAAAAAATACATCACAAAAGTTAGCTAAATTAAATACACTGAGATAGATATAAAAAAAAAAAAATCTGAAACTAAACATCTTAGGATTCCACAGAAGAACAAAAAAAGCCAGAAATAAGCTAACAAGTTTTGAAATAAGCGGTCTTATTCTTTGTAAACAGGGTACTTTAATGAAGAACAAAAATGCTAATAAATCTTTTAGAACCAAATGCAGTTGGTCTCATTGCATATTCCATATTTAATAATACTGCTAATATTTTCCGCATTTAAATTTACTTCCTTAATGACTTAGTTATTAAAGAGAAACTGCTGGCATTTGAGGACAGAAGATAAAGCATAATTTTTAACAAGGAGAAAGAGGGAGCTCTGCACACTCGCCCACGTCATACATACAGTGCCTCCCTCACCTGACAACAGAAACGACCTACTAAACATGTATGTATACAGAGAAAAGAATGACTTTCTGGTTTGGGAAAGTAGATAGTATTAGAAGAATATGACAAAACAAGTATCAAAAGAGTCCATTCATTTTACACTAAAATTCCCTTCATTAGTAGCTCTTTATAGATTTAAACCAAAGGGAAAAAATACTGTTATACACATACTGTTATCCCTTTTATCTGCCTTCTGTTTATAATGAAAACAATCTCTATACCCCCCATCCCTGCAATAACCTGAACTATACTATCTAAAAGAAGAATAATTTGTAAAGCCTTTATGACGTCCACACCAGCAATTTAAATACAAGACATTACTGACAAGCACAAAGATCAAATTTTAAAACCTTAAATTCAAGAGCAATTTGATTTGCTCTACAACCAATACAGGAATAGATTCATATATATATACACATAGGTGAGTGTATTACGTATATAATATATATGCACCATATGCACATTTATCATGAATATTCTGTGAACACTCATTTTTAAGATTTAACATTAACACTGACTTAAGAAAAAGAGTTAGAATTTAGCCTAATCCAGTATTAATGACTCTTCATCAAAAGAATAAACAATATTATCCTTCAATTTTATGCTTTAAAAACCAGAGATAATATATTAAGAGTCTCACTGGAGACCATAGACAGACAGATACACACACACACACACACACACACACACACACACTTTCTAACAAAATTAAAGAGACCAGGTATTTTCTATTTATGTAAATTCATTTAAGGAAGAAGCCTCTTCACTACAACTCATGAGAACTCTCCCTGGCCTTTCTAACCATTCCCTTTTATAAAAAGGCCAAGGGACTTATCTCCGGTTTCATACTGGAGTACAGCCAGGTGAGAAACCTCAACCTCTTCCTCAGACATCTCAAAACAAAGACAAACATCTATTAGTTGGATCAATTGTGTTATGATGCCAAGGAATACTGGGACTCTCCCAAATGCAAAAACCATTAAAACCAAATACAAGACAGGGTTAAAATTAGATTTTTTCATTTCTCAAAACCAAAATAGAACTTTGTAAAAAGGCTTTAAAAACACTGTTCTTTAAACTACATTCCAGAATCAAGTATTATAATTCATAAAGTAGCAACTTTTAACCTATCTTCAAGGCTCAAAACAATAAGAATAGGATAGAACATATCTGAATGAACAAGTATCAGAAAACAAATCTAACTTCCTGATCAAATAGAAAGCACAAAAGTTGAAGAAGATGCACCTGCCACAGCACTGCCTGTTCTTTGAGGGCTTTCCCATCAGCTGCCCGTCGCTCCTCCAGGCGGATGCCCGATGTGAAAGTGGATATCCAGTTCCAGTATAACTGTTTGCACATCACCGCAACTAAGAGAGTCTGTGTAGAACTAGATTCACAGCAGATTTCCCCCACTGCCTTCACCTATCCTCACCTTTTTGCACTACGAAATGTCTGGCACATGCGCTCATCCACCTCTGTCCTCCACCACCATCTCTAACTCCCTTGTGAAAGCCTCAAGAGCCAGTGTGTTGCTGTGTTTCCATTCACTAAGGTAAGTTAACAAAGGCTCTCTGCGGTGAGGAAGCAACAGGTGCATCCAAACCACTCGTTAACCCGGTCCTTGCCAAAATCAGACTGCCCGATCTAAATTACAACATCACTTCTCCTAGGTCATTTTATTTTTAAATTTCAGCCAAATACTCTCTCATTAAACATGAAGGTTTCCAAAGCAGTAGAGCACAAAAATAATATTTAAAACTTTTAACTAGAATTCTGCCACACTCTGTGCCTCCTTTTCATTTGAATATGCCAACATCTTGAAAGGATGACATACATTCCTGGCCAGAATGGAGCTTTCAATATAAGAAAGCAAGGGGCGGGGGGCACTAAATGCACTAATAATTGGGTTAAACCAAAAGATAACTTTACATATGCCTATTCTAGATAATAAAACTTTTATTAGTAGGAGTTTATAAGAAAAGTTACTGTTCTGCAAAAACTCCACCTCCACTAAATGGCTGATCTAATTCCAATTTCCAATGTATAGAAGCAACTCTTCCAGAGTCCCCTCCAAGTCCAGATTGGTACAAACATGAAGATTACAACTGATCTACAACTGATCTTGACACAGTTCTGCTCCCTTCCTCTTGCCTTCCATTAGATAGCTCCCCCTTGGCCTACCCTTTCCATTCCTCACGGGAAAATGGCATTTTGAAGTGGGAATAGAGGGTAGGACTATACCCTTATTATTAGTATCAGAATGTGAAGTGTAGAGAAAAGAGATGTCTTCTAGTATCTGAACATTTTCCTATAGAAACACTGTAATAAAAAATAATTCTGTTCATTAGGGATCAGAAGTTGCATGATGAAAGAGATATGTAAGGATGAGTTCACATGGTCCCAAATGGAGACAGCATAAAAAAAGAGAATAAAGAGAATCGGCATTTGTGGAGCAGATACTATGCCAGACTCTATGCCTTATATTGTTTATCTCATTTAATCCCCACAATCTGTTCCTCAAAGTAGAAAACAGTATGTCCACTTCATAGATGGGGAAAAAGGCTCAGAGAAGTTAAGAGGCAAAAAACTTCAGGAAAGCAGCATGAACAGTAAAGAATAAAGACAGAAAAGAACAAAATGGGAGGAGTGAGATACAAAGGATGCACTGCCCTCAATTAATTAATGTTTTGAATTCCAAAAGTTCTGTTTACGGTTTTTAGAACGGGAATTCAGTTTTCCAAAGAAGTGAAGCTACAAGTTCACAGACTCTTATCCAAAACCCTTGGCACAAAATGTGCTTTGGAATCTTGAATTTTTCTAATGTTAGAGAAGTATTACATATGTATCTGAAATCCAAAGAAGTGAAGCCACAAGTTCAGACTCTTATCCAAAACCCTTCACACGGAATGTGCTTTGGAATCTTGAATTTTTCTAATGTTAGAGAAGTATTATATATGTATCTGAAATCCCAGTAGGATTTGGGGCAACACTCCATAATCAGACAAACTAGTATTTCTTTAGCAAAGCATAGGAAACATTCACATTAAATGGGGTAAGTAAAGAATATGTATAGTTTCATGTCAGTTAACACCATGTTTTGCCAACAGTTCTGTTTAGGTAAATGAGATCTTACTGCAAAATGAATTATAATTTTTTCCATTCTCCAAAGAAGATATACAGATGGCCAGTAAGCACATGAAAAGATGCTCAAAATCACTATCATTAGAGAAATGCAAATGCATTTGAGATATACCACTTCACACCTACTACAATGGATATTATCAAAAAAACAAAACAAAAACAAAATAACAAATGTTGGAGAGGATGTGGAAAAACTAGAACTCTTGAGCAGTGCTGGTGGAACTGTAAAATGATGCAGGCACTGTGGAAAACAGTATGGCAGTTCCTCAAAAAAAATTAAAGAGAATTTTCGTGTGAACCAACAATATATAAAAGAATTGAAAGCAGAGACTCAACAGGTATTTGTCCACCCATGTTCACAGCAGCATTATTCACAACAGCCAAAAGGTAAAAGGAATTCAAGTGTCCATCAGATGAATGCATAAACGTTCATGGTATATACATATATCAAGTGATATATATATAAATTCTGGTAAGGGAATTTTGACACATGCTACAACATGGATGAACCTTACAGAAGTTATGCGAAGTAAAATAAGCCAGAAAGGGACAAATATTTTATGATTCCACTGAGACCTACCTACAGTAAATTCAAAATCACAAAGTAGAATACTGATTGCCAGAGGATGGGCAAAGGAGGAATGGGAAATTATGGTATATTGGGTACAGAGTTTCAGTCTGGGAAGACAAATTCTGGAGACTGATGATGGTGATGGTTGTACAACAATGTATTGCCACAGTAATTTTTTGTTAAGTTTTCAGGATTCCAGATCTCAGAACTGTAGATGTGATTCCAGGCTACTTCTGTCTCTTTCTTCTCCTATGTCTCTTTTGTTCGTCTACACTTAGACATCTCCTTTGCTTTACCGTTAAATACTGATTAAAATCTAGGATTTTGTCTTTCACCCTCTTACCCCTTCTTTCCACAGGACCTATAATCCAATGATCTACCAGTTTTTCACTCTCCATATGCCCTCCTTCTCTTTATCCAGCTTAAATTCCAAGGTCTTTTACTGTACTTCATCTTTGCCTACATATATCCTTAACTTCCCTGATATTCTCCCAATTCAACAACAAAATCGCAACTCTTGTTAAATTCAGTTCTCCACATAATCCAACATCTGGATATGGTCAGAGAAAAACACAGAACAAATTGACTAGACTCAATTTGTAATTAAAAAAAAAATTTTTTTTAATGTTTATTTACTTATGAAAGAGAGAGAGAGACAGAATCTGCGAGCGGGGAAGCGGCAGAGAGAGAGAGGAAGACAAAGAACAGGAAGCAGGCTCCAGGCTCTGAGCTATCAGTATAGAACCTGATGCGGGGCTCGAACCCACAGACCACAAGATCATGATGTGAGCCTAAGCTGGACGCCTAACCAACTGAGCCACCAGGCACCCCTCAATTTGTAATTC